TGGTATTTCAGCATTGGATTTCTCTTAAAGTTAAGTCTGCAGCCTTCTTAAGACCAAGGTCCTTAGGTAACAAGAAAGACCTTAGAGGCAAAGTTCATAGGACAGTAGACATTTAAAGCAAGAATGTTGTTTGTCAGCCCTTACATGTCAACCCCAAACTGTCCCATCAGTTGCCACCTCTCCATTTGTCTCTTTCTTTATCTCTAACGTCATTATAGTACCAAGAGTTTTGCTTCCATGGAGGGAGCTGTCTGTTTGCTATCATCAGGGTGTCCCATAGCTTAGTCAATGATTGTAGGGTGTCAAATGCAGGACCAGTGCAGGGAGAGGGCAGTGGTTTGCTGAACTGCTCTGTTGGTAGAGTTTTCAACCACCAGGCTGGAGAATTTGCACTCCTTGCGTGCTAATAGTGGCAGTACATGAAAATTGCTTGCTTGCAGGCTGGTTGACTCATCTGTATTCCGATACAGATTTCCAGTACTGAAATAATTTCTTTAGATGCATATATAAAAATATACTTTAATCCAGCATTTAGAGTTGTGTGGCTTTCTATATGCGGCCATGGTGGTCTCTTCTGCTAATGAATCCTTTTATTGTGATGTGTGCATTAAATACCTGTAATAATATGAGTTATGAATCCAAAATCTCAAATTTAACTTTGCTTTACTGCTGAGTGACTGCTGTCACAAACTCAGCAGGGCTGCATGCTGACTGACAGCCCCTTGGAACAGGAGTTTGAGCTCTTGCCAGCATGATTTGCAGATGGCAAAGCAGCTTGAAGCAAAAGTTCCCACCAAAAGTTCATGCAAAAGAAATCTGTGATGAGTGTCTGTTAGTGCTGTAAGAATTTCTGAAGCAGTTTAGTGTGCTGGCCATGGAGCAGTCAGGATGGCACTGTCTGGGCATAGGCTGGGTATCTGCAACTGCAGTAGGAGCCACTGGCTTCAGGGACTCCTGAAAATATTAGTTTGCATGTCAGGGGATTTCAGGCAAGTTAGCAGACAATGGTCCACAGTCTCCAAGTTGCTCTTGTCAGCAGTTCTTTTTGACGTATCTATTCAAGCATACGCTTTCAGACTTAGAAAGCAGCCAGCAAGATCTGTGCCAGTAGCAAATACTTTGTTATAAAATAAAAGCTCTGACAAATTCGGAGGCCCTGCATGTGCCATTGCCATGATCCCGAAGTTCATCTCGCAAAATTGGTTCTGGTTTTTTTGTAATCTGAAGTTCAGATTCGTGAGCAAAAGTTGAAAAAAAGTGAGTTGCCAACTGAATTGCCAGTTTATTGAGGCAGTTAACCTTGAAGTAATTGTAAAAGAGCTTTGCTCAGGGAATTAGAACATAATAAATGTTTTTACAAAACGGAGAAACAGTTGTCCTTCTGTATGTGGGGGGATGCTGCTGTCAAACAAGAACAGTTGTCTCAATGCTGTGCTGAGCCCTTTCAGGTGCTCTGGTGGATCACAGACATCCTTAGTGTGACATGGGAGACCAGCAGCCTTCTGGCCTGGCTGCCGAATGCCAAACTAAATACCCAGGGTATCTTTTTAGACCCATTCTCCTATCTTCAGACATATCGTCCCCTTCCCACCAAAGGTACCATCATCTGAAACTGCAGAGGATGAAAGCCCAGTAGGCATGCTGACTGCAGAGAGCATTTCTAACAGAAGCCTGCTGTGCTGCATCCTGGTTCTTTTTGTTGCCATCACTGTTAAATTCAGGCTAACAACAGCAGCGCCAGCCCCCTGCAAAGTAGCCCTTCTGAGGGCAGATCTCTGCTGTGGATCATTGGGAAACAAATGTCCTTGCTCAACAAATCAACACTGGGGAAACGCGAGGGGGCTGTGCTGGAGGGTCCCAGTCCTCAGGGCACATTTGCCAGCCTCTTGCTGATGATGCTCCTCTGGAAGAAAGCATTAAACATCTCAGCACATGGAGAAGGATTTCTCAGTGCTTTTTTTCTGGGAGAGACAGCAGCTCCACATCACTTCCTGCTTGTTAGGTCAGTGACTGCAATTAAGGATTGAAATAGCTCAGGATGCTGTTTGCAATCTGTCCTTGCAGTATCACACTGTGATACTGTGTGCAACAGCTCAGAGTAAATAACATGTTGTCCCGTACAGCACAGGACAACCAGGGATAGGACATGACAAGTAAAACTGCCTCTGCAGTGCACCTTGTCAGTCAGCTGCTGAGTGTGCATCTATGTGGGGCACGCAGCAAAGGCTGGGTTGAGGATCACAGCTGCACAATCTTCTGATATTTGTAACCTTTTCTTTTTTTTTATGAATGTGTATGATACATGGAGGGGACAAATGCAAAAAATTTCTCTCTGTTGCTGTGGCACATCTGCATTTTCTCTTTCAGAACCTCTGTTCACTTTTTCCTTTGGGTCCCTCCATGCATCTCTGTCTGATTTGTATTATCCCTTTGAATTGTAAGCACTTCAGAGCGGCAATCACGTCTCCATCTGTGCCTTGACAAGGGACTTACATGATAGGTTGGCTTAAAACCACCCATCTGTAACTGAGCTATCTTAGGCTTTTGCAAAGCATGAACCTAATGAAGAAAAGTTTTCTTTCTGCCGTGTGACCATCTGATCTCTTTGCCTGAAACGTGGATTTGAAAAGTAGACCTGCGAGTCTCAAGTATTTTTAATAATCAGTTTATTATTTAAATGTTGTTGGTTTTAGCTTGATTTTTGGTTTCTCATTTTTTGTAGCACTACAGGTGCACATTTGCATATACATATCTGTCATTAAATTAATATTGATACATAGGTAGAAAGATGAGAGACGAACTTCTCATTTGTTTTCCTAGTCACAGCAGCAGAGACCATAAGGAAAAAAATATTGTGAAATTCACAGTATAAATCAGGAGATTGGGCAGGTCTTCAGCTAAAAATAGCTCTTTATGGCTCCCCTGGCTGGACTCGGAAATAGAAGTACATCCTGCCATGTATTTTCCCTATGTCCCATCGACGTTGTGCTGTGATCAGAAGTCCACCATCATGGAAAACTGGTCAGCTGTGTGACAAGGCAGGAGTAAAACACAGTGAGTGCCCATGTGTATACGGCGGGCTTCGGGGACTCAGTGGCAAGAGGCTCAGACTGCCCATGGTGATTTAAGGCGTTAAGCACGTGATTGTTATCAAATGCCATTAACCAAAACATGCCTACCTGCATTATGTTCCGAGCATGGAACCCACAGTCATAATTTGTAACTGAAATACTTGGCTTGCAGGCAAAGCCATTGTCTCCAGGTCATCACAAGTTCTGAATTACCAAGATTTAAGCCAACGTACTTGCGGCTGTCTCTCAACACTCAGCCCAAGTTAGCTTTCCAGTAGGTGTCTGCAGATACCACTTTTCTTCTTGCCTGAGATGTTGTAGCAGTCACAATCCCATTCTGTGTGGAAGATAAGCAGGGAAAATGCATTACATGATAACAGGATTAGATAGAGCGCGAGCGCCCATCTCCAAATGCTGCGGGGGACGGAGCGAAAGTCGCTTAATCACACGGTGAGTCAGGGATCGTTTTCACACAGCGCTCTAAATATAACCGTGCTGCAAGCGGGAAGCAGTTGTTGTGAGGAAGAAATTGTTTATCTGTGTGATAGATCGATGTCATCTGGAATTTAAATATTAATTGAAAAGTCAAGGTCGGAGGGTGGCTGACACTTGACTTTGCTCTCTTTCCTCCGTCCACAGCTTTGATCATGCTACATCTTTCTTTGTGCCTGGTGCTCCAGAGAGTACCCCAGGGTCATGGTCCGTTTCCTAGTCAAGAGGTATAAACCTGCTGGCTTAAATGGCTGAGGCCCGAGCTTTAGCGGGGGGGCAGGGGTCTGGCGGCGGAGGGGGAAGCGTTTGCTTCATGCTTTTCACATTTCCCACATAACCCAAAGCAGACTAAACAAAACCAGTGTGAAATCTCATGGCTTGATGCTGCTATGGTTATATTTTTTAAGCTGTCATCCATTCATTTATACTTACGTTTATTCCCTGGATTTACAGCTTTTTTTTTTTGCTTTTTTTTTTCAGTCTTTTCTTGGGGGGGTGCAAGGGGCTGAAACCTTTTGAAAGAGGATTGCAGAGAGTGGTGGCCTATGATTAAAGCTGTGTGTTTTTCCTTGATGCCGCTCTTCTGCAGCGGTGTCACACATGGTAGCATTTAGGAGCCCTTCACAGCTGAGGTGTTTCAAACACTAATGAATGGAAGTTTGGCCATATAATGCAGACAAGCTTGAAGGCATGCTTTGCTGAATGGTGTACTGTAGTGGCCTGGGAAAGGAAGAGAGTTATAAATTGTGTCAGTTAGCCACCGAGACAAAATGAAGCCATGTGGAAAATCAAATCTATTAAAGTATGAAGACTGCTATAAGCTGTTTTAAGCTGGTCATTCTTAAAAGGTCTCCATTGGCTGAGGGGATAAATTCCTATTTTTCATAGATCTTTTTCACGTGCTGGCTTAGGCAATGATGTGCAGCATTTCAGAAAAAAACACCTTTCACTCTCAGCCCCTTTTAACAGAAATGTTTGTTGCTCCCAGTTTACTGTCTGTGTCCTGAAAAGCCCATCGCATTGCTTAAATAAGCAGCATAAGAGTGTCACGTTCAGCCAGGTGTGCTGAAAGGAAAGGCAAAGTTGGCTTTGGGGAGGAGGAGGACGGCCGCAAAAAGGCGAAGTCTTCCCACAGCACCTCCTTCACACTGGATATCTGCTCAAAATGCTTCTCATAGGAGACCCATGACAGAGCACGGCAGGGATTTCTCTTGCTTGGTGCCACATGGGGTAGGAGGGAAGAGCAGCAAACTAAACTGGTGTGGTCTGAGAGTGGAGACCTTCCCCTGCTCTCCACAGCAGCTTCTTGAGGCATCACAGCAGCTATACAGCACATTTTATTAGCTTGGGATGCAGTTGTCAGCTGTGTGAGAGGAGGAGGCAGCCCTAGATGCACAGTCACCACATACTTATTTTTTTTCTTTTTGTGTATTCTAGGAAGAGACTGAAGAAACATCCTCACAAGAATCTGCAGAGGAAGACTAGGAGACCGCTCCATGCAATTTCTACCTCATCAGCAGTTGGGTCTTTTGAAGGGAGAAGACACTGCCTTGACCACTTATTTTCTATTGCCATGGTCTTTCCACTTTTGCCTGGGGGGAAAAAAAATTGCATAACCTTAAAAAGGATTTGACTAATCAACTTCTTTATAATCCCTTCACAGTCCCAGGTTTAGTGAAAAACTGCTGTAACACAATGGGGGCACAGATTAACGATGCAACTTCAAATTACTGTTTTCAATTTTCTTAACCTACTAATAGTTTGAGCTGCTAAGTAAGGGTGACTGGGTCAAGAAGAACTCCAAATCAGGTTTAAGTCATTCACTGCACTGCATATAAACAAGAAACTTGTAACATATTAATTATAATGGGCATTGAAATAGGAAAGGCTGGGTGTGTAACACCTGGCCTTGCAACACTTCCAGCAACCCACTCCCTACTTAGTGAACTCTCTGTTTTAGAACACCAAAGATAAGGGATAGATACTACTTTTTTTTTTTTTTTTTTTTTTTTTGGTAAACTTCTTGTAGATTTGTACTTGATTTATTTTTTTTTTTTTAGTCTTACTGATATTTCAGGAAAAAAAAAAATTGAAAGCTGAACTCTCACTTCATTCAGCTGGTAATCGGAAGAAAGAGCAACATGAAAAAGGTACTTCCATTTTGCAAAAGGGAAGAAAGACAAAGATACGTTGTATAGTTTTACATACAAACATATCAGCAGAAGTAGAAGTAAACAAAATGAGCAGCCCTCACCTTCTGGACAGTAGAAAGCCTGAAGGAGTCGGCTTTCCGTAGAGCCAGGTGTTTTCTGTGGAAACAGAAATGATTGACACCAAACACTAATGCCATTAATGACTAAATCTTTCTCAAGAAAAGTGTTTTAAATCATGTAGAAAGGTACCTCAAAATTAATCGTGAGTTTATCTGAACAAAATAATCCAGATGTTTTGGTTATTTTCAACTAATTCCACTCACCCCGCACCAGATTTCAAACAGGATGGATCTCTCCTCATTACTCATCAGTCATGATGTAAAAACCAACACCATGTACCTCAGTTAGGCTTGTGTATTACGTTAAGCAATGTATTTTGACATAGGATGGTTCACTGAGCACCTTTGTGCCAGTTGCGTTTCTCCATCTTTTCATTCAAAGCAGCACTTTTAGCAACAGATGCAATATTACCCCACTACTCAAAGCTACCTCTGATTTTTACAATTAACTCAACAGACTGATAAATACATGCTGCTATACACACTCAATGCAGGAAATTTTTACTGGGTAGATAATCATGAGTATCTGCATTTTCCCCTTATTTCTACTTCAACACTTAATTACAGTTAAGGAAGCAATATCTTTATTGTGTTTCAGCATGACTATGTATTTTTCTCTCTTTTTTTTTTTTTTTTTAAATGTACTTACCCTGTCTCTGCTAAACTTCTGTGTAATGTACTGTTAACTTGAATATATTTTTGTACTGAATTGCTGATAGGTTTGTAAGGAGAATTTTCTTCAATGACACTACATGACATAGAAAAAAAATTTAGCTGTAATGTTTAAATATTACTGTCCAAGTTTGTACCTCAAATGAATTGTTTAAAGAAATGGACTAATTGATTGACAAAGACCTACCTCCAGACTTTAAATGGAATGAACTTCTTACTTTCAGCATTAGTTTTGAGACGTTTGAAACAGTTAGGACTGCAACTAATCCCTAATTCAAAAGTATTTTTGTAAAATAACTTGTGGAAAATGAACACATTTTAAATTACTTTCGTATTTAAAAAAAAAAAAAATGAACAAAAAAAAAAACCTTCAAAGAAACTTGAAGCTTTGTAGGTGGGAAGCAACAAGCTCAGCTTTTGCATAATGCAATCACAAATATGTGTTTAAAAAAATAATTAGTAGATTGTAAGAAAATACTTGACAAGTATTTTCATGTATTTTACACAAATGTGATTTTGTAATATGTTTCAGCCAGATTTATTTTAAATGCTTCTTCTGTAGAGTATTTTTATTCTCCTCCCTCTCACTCTTTATTTCCCTCTTCTCTCTCTGGTTTCATTTTCTCTCTGTTTAATTTCCTTTCTTCCTCTCTTTCTTAGTCAGTACTTTGTAACATTTTATTAATAACTGGGCCAGGGGTAGTTTCTCAGGAAGGCGTCTGTTGGCACGGCTTTCGTAGCAAGCCAAGTGCAGTTAAAGATAACTACTTACTGGCTTCTTCCAAGAGGCAGAGTCAAGAACTGCGGACCTCCTCAAAAGACTGCAGAGGGTCCATTGTCGGAGATTGCTGAGAAAGAGCTCCTCGGAGTGCTAAAACCAGACACGTTAATAGGAAGTGAACAAAAAGTAACCCGAGCTATGGGGTAGCTCTAGCAGGCCAAATCCAGCGTCCCTTGAAGTCAGTAGAAGGAATTCTGTTGACTTCAGAGGGCCTGGAGTTGAGCCTTAGCAAATCCCGTTTGGTTGGTTTTGTTTACATTTTTTGAAACCACAGTATTCAGCAGGTGACACCAAAATAATCACTGGGTGTGTGTCACACTTCAACCTCCGAGACACTGACCACTCTGATGAACGGAATCTTGTATTTTCTGTATATTGTAGTACAATCAAAACACATTACTACCTCTTAGGGCCTACTATACCTCATTTTTTCAGACTGAAAAATTGCATGTGGCCAGTGAGCCAGTGAGAACATCATAAAATTTTTTATATATATAGTTTATTTTTGTGGGAGATAAATTTTATACGACTGTTCTTTGCTGTCATTGGTCACTGCTAACTAAGACTGGACATTTAACTCTTCTACCATTTCTGCAAGAGAGGTGTGTTTGCAGGAAAAAAAAACCAACGCTTCAAGATGTCTAACTACAGTTTACTTTTTCTTTTGAGTGTCTTCTAACTTTTTGCTTTGTTCTTCATGTAGAGCTGCTGTCTACGATTGTACTTCGAATCGCTTGCTTGTTGAAAATGTTCCTTTAATGGATTATCACAGTCTGTTCAGCACAATAAACATCATAGCCTCTGTGATCCCCATGTTGTTTGATTCCTAGACTTTTGTCACAGTTCCATAAAATGGGTAATAAAGTTTGGTCACAGTGACCAAATTTGTAAAAGCTTTGCATACAAGTAGTCTTTTTTGTCTCAGGATCACAGGTGTGCACCTCAGAAGAAGAGCATTTTCTATGAGGGGCACCAGCGTGTGCCCTCAGCAGAAGGACATGTTGTGAGTGTCCCCTCAGGGAGCAGAACATGTTCCCAGCATGGCACTCACCGTGCAGAGCCAAGTGCCAGGGGAGCAGAGTTGCTATCACCCAGACAGAAGCACTGTAACACTGGTGAGACCGAAGGGGTGTTTTGTTGACCATCTTTGAATCTACCTGTGGGAAGTCAGTCAAATTTCAGAGCCTTCTCCTCTGTTTATGCCAGATCACATTTTGCATCCAGAAGGTTTCATGGCTTATTATTCAGCCATTAGGATAAACTAGAAATGGAGGAATGCGAGCTGAGGTAAAGTCCCTCCTCTTGAAGACGGTGTGTGGGCACAAACCCACCCTTCTTCCTTGGGGTGCAAGGCTGGGGACTGCACTGTGCAGCCTCCTGGCTACTTGAGCTGCCACAGGGCCATTGTAAGGAGGTGGCATGGATTCCTGTCACCTCATCCTTTTGGCACTTTGCCTAGGCTGAGAGCTGCAGATGTAAGGATGAGCCTAAGTGCCTAGCCCTCTTCAGCGGGTGCCAGAGGGAGATACTTTACCATCTAAGCTGGGACGGTATCAGAGCAGCAGGCCTTCTGTGAATCTAAATGCCTGTTTTCAATGTCCTGGATAGCTGAGGTAGGAAGGAGGTGTTTGGGTACTCGGATTGGCTGAGACAGGTACATGGCTGGGTACGGTCTGGGACACAGCTTGAGGGGCTCAGGAAACTGCCTTGGAACTTTGACCCCAAAGTTGGCACATCAGGTTATGCGGGTCTCTTCTGGCATTCACACTGCATTTGGTCTTACGTGGTCCTGTGGCCTTTTACAGGGAGATTTTAAGATTGTGACTGTGTGTCCACTCATTCATATCTGCAACCATGTCCTTCTCACCAAGGGTGGTTGTTCAGATAGTAATTTCTCCAATATTTGGTTTTACACATTCCCTGTATTCAGTCGTTTGTAAAATATCCACCTAATCTGTTTGGGCCTAATAACCTCTGCTTTCCCAAGGGCTTTATGGCATGTTCCCATTGAACTTGATTACTCGTAAAATAACCAAAATACAGTCACAAAATGTGTGTTGAGTAGTAACACATACTCATCAGTCCTGAGTCAGAGATATGAGTAATTGCATTCCTTGCATTATGTGTCCTCCTCTCCTTTCTCACCCAGCTCAGCTGTAGTAAAGGATCATTCCACATCTCAGTCTTCCTGGTGGTCTTCCTGTGCTTTCCATCACTTAGCTCTTCCTGTTGTTGTATCCGATGTGATGCTCCAGCTGTAACCCACCCAACTGGTGGATCAGCCAAGTGGCTGAACTGCTGCTGCCCTGTGCCGAACTCCCATCTACTTCTCATGAGTCATTCCTCCAGCTCACTTCACACCCACTTCCCTTTCGGGTGCATCTTCCAATAAACTTCTGCACACTTTGTACCACAGTGGGACTATTTGTGTGTACAAAACCAATTGGTTTCTGCAGGAACAAGGCCTGTGTTCATCCAGCATCCAAGACTGCTCTATCCAAAATGCCTGTGGCAAGGGGTCACGTCAAGTTTCTGCTTTAGCTTTCCACTCCCATCACATTACAGTCATACAGAGACAGGGAATTACTGAAAGCCGGTGCTGCCAGTGCCTTGCACAGCAATTTGATTGTCCGTAGCTTTGTTTTAAACTGAAACATCTGCTTTCTTGTCATTAGAGACAGACCCCAACACAATGGCAACAACGTGTTCTTCTGATCACAAGACAGGAGTCAGATTTGTCACACCTCAGACTTCACCTGGATATATTTTATGTTTTTCAAAGATTTCTATCACATTTGCCTCTGGTTTCATTTGCATTCAGCAAAGTGTTGTACTTCAAACAACAACGCAGCTGTGCCGCAGCACAGGCTAAGAGACCAGAATAAATGTCAGAAGCCCTGCATTATCCATACCAATGAGTACAAGGGACATTCTTGCACTGAAATTTACCTTAAAATGTTTTTATTCACAGTCTTATGAGGGTAAGAATAACAGTTTATTATTAAAATATTTAGAATTCAATTGCTTCATCAGCACTTAATTACCCATGCTGGAAATAGAAGCTGCCAGTCTTCTGTCAGGATCAGACACAAAATACCTCAGTTTGGTTATATTTATGTGTTACATTAAAAAATGTCCCCACCTTTCTTAGTCAGTATGCAGAATAAATGGTGTAGCTCCTGATTTCGGTAGGAAGTAGGTTCAAGAAAAGAAAAATTGGGAAACAGGAAGTTTTCATTTCCTATAAAACACAGGAAG